TGTGCTCTGTGTGTGCGAGCTTATTAGTGAGCATGTGTCTGTGTTCTGAGCGTGTCAGCTGAGTATGTGTGCTGGTGTGTGCTCTGTGTGTATGCTAACTCACAAGTGCGTCAGTGAGGGGATGCAGTGACATTGGTGGGCTTGGGAAGGACGTGTCTTTGTGGGTGTGTCTGGGAACCAGAGGAGCCACCAATACATTTGTCCCTGTGGTTCTCGTCTGAGAAGCCCTGGATCCACACATGCTGTGCCCCGGGACAGGTGTTTGTCCCTCTGCCACCCCCAGGCATGCTCAGTGTCCAGGAGGGGCTTTTCCTGGGTCCAAGGGGTGCTGGGCTGCTTGTGAGCAGAAGGAGGAGGTGACCAGCTGTGACCCTGCTTGTCCCCAGACGTGGACGAGTGCCGTGTGCTGACCCACCTCTGCTTCCATGGCGAGTGCATCAACAGTTTGGGCTCCTTCCACTGCCACTGCCAAGCCGGATACACACTGGACACGACCACCACAGCCTGCCTGGGTGAGCCCCAGGCCCCACCCAACTCCTCACACCCTAGCCTGCCTCCCAGTTAGCAAGGTTTGGTTAGCGCATTCAGCTGCTGACTGAAAGACTGGTGGAGTGAACCCACCCTGAGGCACCTCTGAAGAAAGTCCCGGCAGTCTGCTTCTGAAAGATCAGCCTTGGAACCCCGAGGGAGCAGTTCTACTCTGACACACCTGGAGCCAACATCAACTGGTGGTTTTGTTTTGGGTTGTCATTTACCAAGTGGTGCCCACACCATAAAGAGAATCAAACCTGAAAAAAGCGGCCAAGCGCCCCTGGCCCCACCCCCACCCCCCAATTTTGGTTTCTCTCCTGTTATTTTATACATCCAGAGATTGTCAGTTATACCGTCAGCTCCAATTCATGGTGATCCCATGTGTGCCAGAATAGAACTGCATCCCATAGGGTTTTCAATGGCTGAGTTTTCTATATGGGATCACCAGGTCTCCTGAGTTCTGAGATGCCTCCAGGTAGATGCAAATGTCTAATCATTTCATTAACTGCTGGACATACTTACTGTTTGTGCTACATTATATAATGGGTGGGTATTCGTGGGCATGCCTCTAAGTCAGAGACTGGCAAATAAGGTGCCAGGGCCATTTTTGCAAATAAAGTTTTAGTGGTACTCAACCCTGCCCTTGCTTGAACATACTCCCTATGTCATCTTTTGCACTTCAGCTGTTGTTGTTGTTGTTATGTGCCATGGAGTCGGATCCGACCCATAGCGACCCTGTACAGGGTTTCCGAGGCTGTAAATCTTTACGGGAGCAGAACGCCTCATCTTTCTCCCGCGGAGCAGCTGGTAGTTTCGAACTGCTGGCCTTAAGGTTCACAGCCCGATTCGTAACTACTACGCTACCAGAGCTTCAGCTGTAGGGTTGGGTAATTGCAATAGGTCATAAGGCCCACAAAGCTGAAGATATTTACTTTCTGGCTCTATCTAAAAAGGGTTTGCCAGTCTTTGGAGTGAGGCTACTTGTAGGAAGGCCAGGGTGCAGGATGAACCCAGGCCCTACATGGCGTCCCTCTGACCCCCCTGCCCACCACCCACCACCATCTCCTCTAGATGTTGATGAATGTGGCCAGACCCCCAAGCCGTGTAGCTTCCTCTGCAAAAACACGGAGGGCAGCTTCCTGTGTGCTTGCCCCCGCGGCTACCTGCTGGAGAAGGATGGCAGAACCTGCAGAGGTGATGTGCCTCCCCCCCCACTGCTCCCTGAGCAGCCCCACCCCTGTCTACCAGGGCTCATCCCCTCCCATCCACATGAAGGCACTCTGGGAGTTGGGTGCCACCTCAGAGGTGGCAGGAGTGACCCCAGGAGCCTGGCCTGAGCCGGCAGTCTGTCTGTGCCATAGACCTGGATGAGTGTTCCTCCAAGCAACACAACTGCCAGTTCCTCTGCATCAACACCGTTGGTGCCTTCACCTGCCGCTGCCCCCCTGGCTTCACCCAGCACTACCAGACCTGCTTTGGTGAGTGGATGGCCCAGCATTCCCTTGGTTGTTGACAAGTTAAATATCAAGTACCCCGTGTGTGCCACACACTGGGGACACGGTGCTTGAAACAGAGCCCTTGCTTTCACAGCCTGGCGCATCTAGAACCTGGATGTCCCAGTTCTCTGGTTTGGCTATCACTTTCTCACAGTTTAGGAGGCTAGAAGTTTGACTTCAGGGTGCCAACTCTTGGGGAATGTCTTTGTCATCAGTCTTCCCCTGGGCCTAGTTTTACTATGTAAGGACCCCAGGCCCAAGGACAGGTTCCGCTCCCAGCTCTTCTTTCTTGGTGGTGATGGATCCTTCTCATTTCTACTTTCTTGTTTAATCTCTTTTATATCTCAAAAGAGATTGACTCTAGATACAATCTAATCTTGTACATTGCACTCCATGTCATTAACACAACTGCCACTAATCCTGCCTTCGTAACATCGTGTTGGTAAGTGCCTATGAGTTGGTTCTGACTCATAGCAATCTTGTGTAGAGTTTCCAAGGTTTAAATCTTGGTGGGAGCAAAAAGCCTCATATTAATCCCATGGAGCGGCTGGTGGTCTTGAACTGCCAACCTTGTGGTTCACAGTCCTGTGCTGATGCTACAGTGCCACCATATTCCCCATAACGTCATATAGGTGAGATGTACAACACTTAACAATAATTACAGAGTCCTGGTTTGGCACTGTAGGATTGGCCCTGGACTGCTAACCACAAGGTTGTTGTTGTTAAATGCCGTTGAGTTCTAACCCATAGCGACCCTGTATAGGGTTTCCAAGGGGCAGCTGGTGAGCTTGAACCACTGACTTTGCAGTCTGCTGTATTAGCCCAGTGCCACACCAGGACTCCAAAGTTATCTGCTTGGAAACACCATAGAGGGTCTCTGTGAGTTAGAACTGACATGATGGCACTTAACAACAACAAGATAATAACATCTGATCACAAAATGGAAAGTGATGACATCAGACGACAAAATAGAAGACAATTTCTTAACACTGAGACTAATGACCTACCCAAGTTGACACATTCTTTGAGGGGTACACAATTCACTCTGTAACACTTGGAGATCACTCTAGGGGGCAAGGAGCTACACCCTCCAGCCTCAGCCCAGGACTTCTGCCCTCAGCTGTGCCCTGTCCCTATGAAGTGAAGTCTCTGTTCTCAAGACTCCCCATAGCAGTCAGAAAGCTCAGGGCTTACACAATCCAAAGAGGAAGCTAATTCAGAAACCAACACTCCTAAGCCCCCTGTCACTGCCCCTATTTCTAAGTGTCTTGTGGCCCCTAAGGAAGCAAAGTTCCCCCAAGAGCTGAGCTCAGCTCCTATTCAGGCCTCTCTCGTTTAGGGAGAGAGGGTCAGCAAATTCTAGCCCTTGAGCCAAGTCCGGCCGCTTGATTGCTTTTGTTAATAAAGTTTTATTGGCATGCAGCCATGCCCATTTGTTTACCTTTTGTCTGTGACTGCTTCTATACTACAATGCCAGAGTTACGTTGTTGTATCAGAGACCCACCAAATCAAGAATACTTAACAACCTGGCACTTTCCAGAAATGACTTGTTGATCTGGATTGGGGGACAGAGGGGCGTACTGTAACCAGTAAGAGAGTCCTTTACATCATTGCATAACTAATTCTCACCAAAACCCAGTGAGGATTAGACAATAGCACAGCCACTTCAGAAAACATTGGGATGGTTTCTCAAAAATTTAAGCATTACTCTTCTTTTATTGTTTGTTGTTAAGATTTCTTTTACTACCCAGCAATTCCTAGGTATGTACCCCAAAGATCTGAAAGCAGGCCCTCAAATAGATGCATGTCCTGCTTCCATGTTCCTTGTATCACTATTCACAATAGCCGAAAGGGGTTAGCAACCCAGGTGGCCCACCAACAGATGAAGGGGATAAATACAATATGGTCCGTCCATACAATGGAATAGTATTTAGCCACAAAGAGAAATGAAGTTCTGATGCAAGATATGACATGGATGAACCTCAAAAGCATGCAGAGTAAAATACGTCAGTCACCAAAGGACAAATAGTACACAACGCTGTTTGTGGTGACATACCTAAGCTAGGCAAATATCTGGAGACACAAAGTAAGACAATTGGTTGCAAGGAGAAATGGGGAGTTATTGCTTAACAGACACAGACCGTTTGGGGGAAAGCTGGAAACGTTTGGGAAACATACTGGTGATGAGTGTCCAATATTGGGAATGTGGTGAAGAATTATAGATTTTAAAATGGCAAATTTGATGTTATGCGTATTTTATCACTGTTATAACAACTACAACAACAATGAAACAAGTATTATGTCCATGGTATATTATTGTTGTTGTATGCCATTGAGTCAGTTCCAACTCATAATGACCCTCTATCAGGTTCCAAAAAGGAGCTCTGGTAGCGTAGTGGTTACGAATCGGGCTGCGAACCTTAAGGTCAGCGGTTCGAAACTACCAGCCGCTCCGCGGGAGAAAGATGAGGCTTTCTACTCCTGTGAAGATTTACACCCTTGGAAACCCTGTACAGGGTCGCTATGGGTCGGAACCGACTCGACGGCACTTAACAACAACAACATCAGGTTCCAAAGGTGTCAATCTTTATGGGAGCAGAAAGCCTCATCTTTCTCCCACAGGGCAGCTGGTGGGTGTGAACTGCCAATCTGGTGGTTAGCAGTTCAGTGCTTATCCTATAGTGCCACCAGAGTCCTGGCAACCCCCAGAGTCCTGGCAACCCCTTAGTAAGGGAAGCACAGAGAGGTTAGGTAAGCTGCCCACAGTCGCCCAGCTTTTAGATGATGGAGCTGGGATTCAAACTGAGGCAATCTGGTTTTAGACTCCGTGTTTATAGCCACTCTGCAATCCTGCTACCTGCTGTAAAAACAAAACACAAACTCATTGCATCAGATTGACTCGGATTCATGGAAACGCCTTGTGTTACAGAACAGAACTGCTCCATCCGGTTTTCTTGGGAGCAGATCGCCAAGCCTTTCTTCCGTGGTGCCGCTGGGTGGAACTGAACTGCCAGCCTTTAGATTAATAGGGTGAACGCACACTGCACCATCGAGTCCTTTATGTGCATTATACCAGTAAATGTTGACAGAAACGTGAAATATTTGGTGTGAATCCCATTTCACAAAAGAGGACACTGAGGCACAGAGAGGTTAAGGGAGTCTCCCACAGCCACCAGTGGATCTGGGGGTAGGACTAGAACCGGGGTGCCCAATATGAACCCCTAATCACCAGGCTAGCCTGCCTGTTCTCTGTCCTCTGCAGACAATGACGAATGCTCAGCCCAGCCTGGCCCCTGCAGCACCCTTGGGTACTGCCACAACACCCCGGGCAGCTTCCGCTGTGAATGCTATCGAGGCTTCACCCTGGACAGATCCGGCCGAGGCTGTGAAGGTAGCACAGGGTTGTGGGTTGTGACTGAGGGCTGGCAGGGGAACCAGGGAGGAGTCATCAGGGCTGCAGAGCAAGGCTGGCCCACTTCATTTCTCAGAGAGTGCTCCGCTGAAAGATGCTAAAACTGGGGTTTTGAGCTCTAAGAAAGAGTGCTGCACTCGATTAGTGATGTCTGCCATGGGTGTAGCAGTGGAGTGTGGGGACATGTTTGCTACATCTTTGCTACCTTTGCCCTCTCTCAGACATAGATGAGTGTGACGGGCCCCACCGGTGCCAACATGGCTGCCAGAATGAGCTAGGAGGCTACCGCTGCAGCTGCCCCCAGGGCTTCACCCAGCACTCCCAGTGGGACCAGTGTGTGGGTGAGTGGTGGTGGCTGGGTGGAAGCCAGAACACTGTCAGAACCATAATTATCTAAGAATCAGACCGTCTGCCCTGAAAGGTAGTGAGTTCCCCGTTAGTGGGAAAGCTGGAGTGTCAAAGGGCTGCAGAATACAGCTGACCACGTTCATTTCTCAGGGAGTGGTAGCCTGGAATGTTCAGTTAAGATTCTGAGACAGTGGCTCTGAGTTTTGGAAAGGAGTGCTGTAATCGAATAGTGATGTCTGCCATGGGTGCAGCAATGGAGTATGGAGATCCGTTTGCTATTTCTTTGCTGTGGCTGGTGCAGAAGACTTCTGTTTAGGGGGGCTACCCTTCTGCCTCACAGTTCATGCTTCTCTTTGCTGCTCCAGGCCCTCCTAACCTTCTTCTCCAACCTCTTCTGGACATGTCTCCTCCCACGGCTGTTCCTCCTCTCCCACCACCTCACAGACACTTCCTTCTCTGCCTGCTCTCCAGCTCCCTCTTGCCGACCATGGTGGGTCTCCAGCTAAGTTCTCTGTATTTGCCCATGTGGCAATTGCCCACTTTGGTTCTTGCCAGTCTTTGACCTCTGCTGACAATCCCGCAACCTGTCTCCTCCGCTGCATACTCACTCATTCATTCCTTTAGCTATTGCTTCCCAAGGGCCTGGGGATACTGAAGTGAGCAGATTACCCCTGGTCCTGAGATGTTCAGTCTAGTGGGGGGACACGGACATTCATTACAGTGGCAGTTCTCATCCTGGGGTGATTCTGCCCTACCTTCTGCCCCAGGGACATTTGGAACATCTGGAGGTATTTTTGATGGTCACAATCAGGGGCGGGTCCTACTGACATCAAATGTGTGGAGGCCAGAGATGCTACTCACATTGTGAAACACATAGGACACGTCCCTCAAAACACAAAACTCTCCATCCTGAAAGTCCATAGTGCTGAGGGTGAGAGGTTGTATTCGGGATCATTCTACAGCTCAGGGTTCATGTGAAGTTCTGAAAAGTGCTTCCACTGAGAGCAATGGGTGGAAGGCGACGGCGTGATGGTGTGTGAAGCGGGACCAAGTCTAGTCTGCGGGGTCACGGCAAGCTTGTAGAGGCTTTGACACTGGACTGGAGAGGATGCTAGGTGTGTGAAGGCCACCTGCGTCCCCTCCTTCTCCTTCCCTGCCTGCAGATGAGAACGAGTGTGCAGTGTCCCCTGAGACCTGTGGGAGTGCCACCTGCCACAACACGCTGGGTGGCTTCCGCTGCGTCTGCCCCTCAGGCTTTGACTTTGACCAGGCCCTCGGCAGCTGCCAGGATGTGGATGAGTGTGCGGCATGGGGCAGCCGCTGCAGCTATGGCTGTGTCAACACCCCAGGCGGTTTCCTCTGTGGCTGCCCCCAAGGCTTCCTCCGAGCTGGGCACGGGTGAGAGATGCAAGCCGGGCTACAGACCCCCGGGTCTCATGAGTACACACACCCCACCACCACTGCAAAGCTGCTTCTGCCCGGGCACAGTGAGGCTCTGCAGCCCCCACCCCTTGATGTATAATTATCCCATGATGTTCCCGTGGGCTCCCACTCCACATCAGTGGACGCACACCTCTCTGTTGTTCACATGCATATGCACACGACTTGTACATGCTTACACCCCTGGGGACACATGTGTGCCTTCATATGTGCACACACGCCGTTCTCTCTGTGTACACGCACTTTTGCAACTGTCACACACCCTGAGCACACTGGGGTGTCACTCACATCTCACTATGTGCAAACATGCATGTACACGCGTTCATCTCTGAATGCAGGTGTTCACACACACCCTCACATAGACTGATATACATCTTATTTCCCTGCATACAAACATGCACACACACCCCACACCATCTGTGTGCACACAGGCTCCCACCTCTCCCAGGTGTATCCAGCAACACACACGCTTATTTGCACACCCTGATGCACACAAAGCCAATTGGGTACATGTGCAGAGTCATCTGTGGACAGTGTCCTGGGCAGCCTGGCTCAGAGATGTATGAAAGGGTAGTGGGTGGGGGGGCTGGCTGGGGATACCTGCCCAGGGTGCCCCTTGGGAGCCCACCCCATCCCCTTCTGCCCCCAGGCACTGTGTCTCCAGCCTGGGCTTCAGTTCCGGACCCCAGGACAGACCAGACACAGACTTGCTGCTCTCCACCGAAGCCTGCTATGAATGCAAGATGAACAGGCTCTCCCCACGGGACCGACCGAGGCGCAGCACCCACGGGGACCTCCAGGTGCCACAGGGCTGTACTGGACAAGGGAGCAGAGTGTGGCATCCCAGGGCCGAGCTAAGGGGTGGAGGGGGGGAAAGGCTGCAGACTCAGTTGGCCCAAGCTGCCCCCCACTTCCTGGTTGCTGCTCAGACCTCTTGTAGGTTCTCCAGTGGAATCTTCCCTGATTCATCGATGCAAGAGCCATGTCCTGGCTCCCCAGCCTGGCCTGCACCAGGGCCTGCATCCTCACCTCCTGGCTGGCAATGCCTTCCCTCATAGACCCTGCCCATATGGTGTCGTACCACGAGGGGCCAGCCAAGCTGTCTCCATGTTTTTCCTCCCCACCCAGGCCCTATCTGCCCCTCCACACAGCTTCCCCCATTCCACCCACCTCTCTTGAGACACCTGTCTCTCGTCTCCTGTGACAAGGAGCCCTGGCGGTGCAGAGGTTAAGTGCTCAGCTGCTAACTAAAAGGGTAGCAGTTGCAACCTACCCAGTGGTACCGCAGAAAAACGGCCAGGTGATCTCTTCCCCCTGTGGAACAGTTCTACACTACACACATGGGGTCGCTGTGAGTTGGAATTGTTCTGACACACACCTAGCACCCTGGCAAGTACGCCACCTCCAGGTCCTAGCCAGCCTTGAGGAAGCGAGTCCTTTCTTTGGGACCCTAGGAACACCTATGTAGGCTGATTGGCTCACCCACCCAGCATGGACCTCTGCACACATTTTCTGAACTCAGAAGACACTTGGAGCTGAGTTGGACCTGTACCTTTGTCACACCTAGCTGAGCCTTCCCTCGCCACTCTAGCTGAGACCTTGACCCCTGCACACACAGGGTTTACAGGGAGAGTGTTTTTACCCCAAAATTCAGCCAGGTTTTCCCCACAACCAGAGTCTCTGAAGCCCTACCACCATCAACCAAGGAATCTGAAAGCTAAGCATTTATTAAGCACCAGCTACATGCAGGCGGTGAGAATTTTACCACTGAATCATCACCACCTCCCCAGAAGTTATAGATAGATACCACTGTCTCCCATTTTACAGGTGGGGAAGTTGAGGTTCAGAGAGGATAGGGCATGTGCCTGTATCGCAGATGTTGAAAGAGCTGGAGCAGCAATTCCCTGGCTACACCGCCTGGCCTTTTCTTTAAGAGTGACCTTAGCCTTGCCAGACTGGCATCTCAGGACCCTCTGTGGTCAGTCTTTAGGGTCATCGCTTTATCAGTTGCCATCATGTCTGGACCACCCTTGACCACCCCTTGTGTGCCAGAGTAGATCTGTGCTCCGTAGCTAATTTTCCAGAGATAGATCTCCTCTGTGCCTTTCTTCTGAGACTCCATTGGATGGACTTGAACCATCAACCCTTCAGTTAGATCTATGAATCATTTCAAAGTATATGAAACATTTGCACCACACCCAGGGACTAAAAATATCACACTGAGCACAGAAGCCTGAGCTCACATCCCTACTAACATCCCCCAGGACTAAATTCCTTCATGCCCTAGATTTTATTGAATACCTGCTATGTGCTGGACAAGGGGGATACAGCAGTGAGCGAGAAAGACACAGGACCTTGGCATGCTATTATTCTAGCAGGGGAGACAGATAAGTAAACACAATGTATTTTATAAATACATGTTGCTGTTAAGTGCCGTTCAGTCTGTTCCAACTCATAGTGACCTTGTATAGGGTTTCCAAAGAGCGGCTGATGGGCTTGAACTGCTGATCTTGTGGTTCACAGTCCGGTGCTGATCCTACAGAGCCACACCAGGAGTTCATAAATACATATGTTGTCGCTGCTGCTCTTAGTGCCCTTGAGGACTACATAGAAACATACAAGGGAAAATAAAACCAGAAGTGTGGGATAGGAGGCTTGCTATATATACCACTCTTTCATCCTTTAGGGTTTTTTTGTTTTTTTGTTTTTTTGTTCTTAATTTCTTTCTTTTAAGCTTTGCTGGGAAATACTGGCTGTATATATATATATATATATATATATATATATATTACTCTTTGTTGTTGTGTGGCATCAAGTCAGTTCTGATGCATAGTAACCCTATCAGACAGAGGAGAAGTACCCCATAAAGTTTCCAAGGTTGTCATCTTTGCAGATGCAGACTGACACATTTCCCTCCAGGGGGGCTGCTGGTAGGATCAAGCTGCTGACCCTTCTGCACCACTAGAACCTCTGTATATGAAAGGGCTTCAAAAAATTCATGGAAATTTTTCATCATCTTTCAAGGCCATGTTTCCATGAACTTTTCAAGCCATTTCATTATTACTGCATAGCTTCATAAGGGCAGATTCCTGTCGGTCCATCTTGTTGCTACCAGCCATTGGTACTAAGAGTCAATGGAGTGGCTGTTAGGGGACATTTCTGGGATTGGCACAAGCAGAGAATGTTGTTGTTAAGTGCCGTCGATTCTAATCCAATCATAGTAACTCTGTATAAAGCAACTGGTGGGTTTGAACCATCGACCTTTCCGTTCAAGCCGACCTTGTGACCCTATCCTATAAGCTCCACACCAGGAAGCCATATGGCTTTGCCTGCAATACCCACTTACTGCCAGCAGGTGTCAGTAAGAGCACAGGTTTAAGCAACGCTCCCTGAAAGCTGAAATCTTCAGACCTGAAAATAGGAATGGCTTTTCCTTCTATACAATAGTAAAACAGTCCATTGGTATGTAAATTAGGCAAAATAAAACACAGCCCTGCCCAGAGCAACGGAAAAGAAAACATAAATAAACTCCTGTGTGATTTTTCAGCATCATCCAGGCCTGGGAGCCTGCCACTGGGGCTCAGTCGGTTTATTCAAGGCTCTGTCCAGCTGCCAGGATCTGGAAGGCACTCCAATAAAGAGGAGTTTGTTATCTGCACACAGGGACCTCTCAGGGAGTCCAGATCTGGAAGTACAACGGCCTCCCGGGAACCGGAAAGCTGCTGGGTGGCTCCTCTGTCTGGGGCTGGCTCACTCTTTTGGGGTCAGCTCCCACAGCAAGACTAAATAATACCAGCCTCCACAGTGCCTCTAAGTGACCTTAAGGTTCCAGGAGCAGACACCATCTGACCAAATCCTTGATTCCCTCAATCCAGGTTGACAATTCAGGAGGGATCGTGTCACCTTTGCCATAGGTGGGAAAGTTGTGCTTTTCCACCAGGGAACCAGCCTCGGCCTTCGTGCCTCTCTGTCAGGATAGCCCATTCACCTTTTGGATAGAGGCCTAAAGGGAAGGCAAGGGTACTAAACTTTTTTTTTTTTTCACTTGAAACAAACATATTGCTGTCAATTTACTGTGACTCATGAGGCCCCCATGTGTGCTAGAGTACAACTGCACTCCATGAGGCTTTCAGTGACCGACTTTTTCAGAAGCAGATCACCAGACCTTTCTTCTGAGGTGGCTCTGGGTAGGCTTGAACCTCCAACCTTTCTATAAGCAGCTGAACACATTAACCGTTTGCATCACCCAGGGTCATGTGCTGAGGCTATAAAGTCTAAGTTTAACTCTCTAAGAAACTGTCCAACTGTTTTCCAAAGTAGCTATATAGTCCCAGTATGTTTATCACTCAGCTGTTAACCAAAAGGTTGGTGGTTCAAACTCCCCAAGCAGCTCTGTGGGAGAAAAGACCTAGCAATCCGCTTCAGAAAGATGACGACCTAGAAAACTCAACAGGACAGTTCAGCTCTTTCACACGGAGTTGCTCTGAATCTGAATTCCATAGCACACAACCACAACACATAGGTCTCAATTGTTTTTCCACAGACAAGTTGCTTTCTCTGGACATTGTTTCTGTATCTTGCTTTTCCAGGTCTTAAAAGTCAGTCCAGCATCAGAACGTATAAATATAGCTTCTTGTTTGCAGCTACATACTATCCACCCTCTGGTAGCTTAGTGGTTATGAATTGGGCTGTGAACTGCAAGGTCAGCAGTTCGAAACTATCAGCTGCTCTGCAGGAGAAAGATGAGGCTTTCCGCTCCCATAAAGATTTACAGCCTTGGAAACCCTGTTCAGGGTCTCTATGGGTCGGAACCAACTCGATGGCAATTAACAACAACAACACCTATCCACCCTGTCAGCCAACAGTAATTTGGCTTTACTGTCTCCTGTAAAAGGAATCCTGGTGTGGCGCTATGGGTTAATGCACCAGACTGCAAAGCCATTTGAACTGCAAGGTCGGCAGTTCAAGCTCACCAGCTGCTCTTCGGAAACCCTATACAAGGTCACTATTGGTCAGCACCGACTCAACGGCACTTCACAACAACAACAAATAAAAGGCTTAGGAGCTCTGGTAGTGTAGTGGTTATGAATCGGGCTGCTAACCTCAAGATCAGCAGTTCGAAACTACCAGCTATTCCACAGGAGAAAGATGAAGCTGTCTGCTCCCATCGAGATTTATAGCCTCAGAAATCCTGTGCAGGGTCACTATGAGTTGGAACAGACTCCACGATGCTTAACAACAACAACATAAAAAGCTTTTCAATTGTTTCCAATCTTTTGCTGTTATAGACACAGCTGCCTGATGGCCTGTCCAAACCAGCTGCCATTGTTGATCGACTTGCATTTATCGAGCATGTTCACCATTAACTCCTGACTAGGTCTCTGACCAGCCACTTGATCTGTCTCCCTAGGTGAGCCTGGCCAGTCTGGACTCAGAGACCCCGCTGACCTTGAGCCTGAACCTCTCATGCCTGGGCCAGGTTGAACACATCCTGGAGTTGCGGTCAGCGCTGGAGCATCCCAGGGGCCACATCCGTTACATTATTGCCCATGGCAACGAGCAGGGCTTCTTCCAAATGTATCACCTCCGAGGTCTCAGCGCCCTGCAGCTAGCTCATCGGAGGCCGGTGCCTGGAATCTACCGGCTGGAGGTGGTGAGCGTGGCTGGGCCCTGGACCACGAGGCCTGATGGGTGGCCAGGGGCCAGGGGCCAGGCCTTGCGGCTGAAGGTATGGCTGCAGCTGCTCTAGGTGAGATGACCACACCTCCTGCCTAGTCCCAGGCCCTCTCCAGATACCACACGAGTATTTCCCGACCTGTCTCTTTCCACGGGATTCCAGGGGGACACTGCTCACCACAGAGCCTGGCCCTGGTCCCCTCCAGAGATGAGGGGTTCTGGCACTGGGAGGGCCCCATCACCAGCTGCCCACGTCAGACCCCAGAAATCAGGAGGCGTGAGACTAGGCCCTCAGGCAAGCCTCAGCCTCCCTGTCAGCTCAGGGGCCCCAGTTCACAGCCCCCCATCTTTCCTGGAGATGGTTAGAAAATGACCTGCACCAGGAGACCGAGGGACCCTGTGTTCGCAGCAGACAGCCAGACTCACTATTAGCTTGTGCACTGCAGTGGGGGGCGCCCCAGGAGCAGAACCGTTCCTCAGGAACAGAAGGGTCCACAGGGCCCTGACCATAATCGGAGACACACTGTACCCCTGTCCATCCCCCAGGATTCCTAGATGATTTCATATCAGAAACAAAGACAATAATAAAGTTATTTTGGGTTAAATCCCTCGCCTAGCAAGTTCTTGCCATGGGCAGACACCTGACCAGAGAGAGCCAAGGGCCCGTTCAATCGCATTTGGGGCTCTGAGGAGGAAGTTTGCAGGTGAAGGAAGAAGCTAGTCTCTACTGTGCGGGTCAGGGAGAACGGGCTCTGCCAGAGAACAGCAGTGGGGTTCTTGTGGCTTCACTAATAATGTCAGTTACTGCTTCATGACCACGTAGGCTGAACCAGGCACTGTTCTGCATGTTCCATAGTCACTGAGTCCACATGAGAAATCCCTCTGGGTGTTGCAAACAGTTAACCCTGCACTCAGCTGCTTTAACCAAAAGGTTGGTAGTTCAAACCCATCCCAAGTGACCTTGGAAGGGAGGTCTGGTAACCTACTAGGGGAAACACAGCCATTGACAACCAACCCTGATGTGCATAGCTCTACTCTGACACACACAGGGGCACCAGTAGCCAGAGTCGACCCCACAGCCACCGGCACATCCATATGATGGTGACTTAGTGGCAGAATTCTCTCCTTCTTTAAGCGAGACTGGGGTTTGATCCCCGACCAGTGCACCTCACGTGCAGCCGTGCGTCTGTCAGTGGGGACTTGAATGTTGCTAGGATGCTGACCTGGTTCCAGCAGGACTTCCACACTAAGAGACTAGGAAGAAAGACTTGGCTATCTGCTGTTGTTGTTAGGTGCCGTCTGACTCATATCAGCCCTGTGCAAAACAGACCAAAACATCACATCATCCTCACACTTGCTACACTTGAATCCTTTGCTGCTGCCACTGTGTCAATCCATAGACTTGGCAATGAACTTCCAAATCTCAACCAATGAAAACCCTGTGAATCACCATGGTCCTATTTGCAACAGACCATGGGGTGGTGCAGGATGGTGCAGATTTTGTTCCATTGTCACCATGGAGTTGTCATGAGTCGGGACTGACCAGATGACAGCTAACACGACAGCCCAAATGAAGTAGATGCTGTTGTCATCATCCCCATTTTACAGATGGGAAAACTGAGTCTTACAGAGCTTAAGACAGTTACCCAAGGTCACTTCAGCTGGTAGAGCCAGGGTCAAACTCAGGCAGTCACACCAGCATCTGAACTTCAACCACCACCACACACACACACCGTTCCAGTTTAGAGTTGTTGTTGTTGTTAAGTGCTGTCGAGTCGACTCCGACCCGTAGTAACTCTGTATAGGGTTTCCAAGGACCAACTGGTGACCTTGAACCACTGACCTTGCAGTTCAAACGACCTTGCAGTCTGATGCATTAGCCCACAGTGCCACACCAGGACTAGATATCGCAAGTGTCAATCTACGGGGTCCCCAGCCCCATGGCGGGGATACTCATCCTGCTAACAGCTAACGGGCAGTAAATGTGTATTTTGTGCTGTGCACACCACACCATAACATAGTGGCAGGTATTACCATCCTTGTTCCCATTTCATAGGAAGGAAAACGGAGACTTAGAGAGTTGATGGAACTTTTCCATGTAGCCTGTGATGGTGCCCAGATATGACCCAGGCTCTACTGAGTCTGTGCCTTGGTCCCAAACCACCCTTTGTTCTATAGATAGGATACTTTGTTGTCTTTGTTTGTTTAACAGTGGAGATGTATATGACAAAGCATTCTGCAGTTCAACCACTTCTTGCCCAATTCAGTAACATTGTTTCAATTCATCATCTTGTGCAAACAGCACTGTTCCAAATGATTCTCCCACCACTAACAGAAACTCATTGCTCCCTAAACAATGACGCCCCCCCCCATCCACTCTTGATAATACGAATAAGATCATATGAATAACCAAACTTGGTTGCAGCTCATGGCAACCCTATGTGTAACTGAGTAGAATGGCTCCCGAGGCTTTTCTTGGCTGTTGTGATCTTTTTGGAAGTAGATTGCCAGACCTTTCTTCCAGAGCACTACTGGGTGGGTTTGAATCACTAACCTTTAGGTCAGTGGTTGTGGCATGCCACCAAATCAGTCCCAACTCATAGCCACTCTGTATTGGGTTCCCAAGGCTGTAGATCTTTACGGGAGCAGAAAGCCTCATCTTTCTCCCACGGAGCAACTGGTAGATTCAACCGACTGACTTGCAGTTAGCAGCCCAGCTAATATTCCAGTATTCCACTGGATTATGGTTAGTAGCCAGTCCTTTAGTCCTTTAGGTTGGTAGGCAGTGGCAAGCCATTTGCACATGGTGGTGATGGTGTTTATGTGCTGTAGAGTCAGTTCCAACTCACCGCCATCCTGCCTAGGGTTTCTGAGGTTGTAAATCTTTACTGGAGCAGAAAGCCTCATCTTTCTCCCATGGAACAATTGGTGAATTCACACTGCTGACCTTGACGTCAGCAGCCCAGCTCATAACCCGGGGCTCCTTACGTACGGCTCTGGTCTGATACATTTGTCTTTCATTCAAAACGTCTCTGGTGTTGGGGAATCTGAAATAGTGTGACGTCCAGGGGTGGGGAGGGGTTACAAGGCTTGTTGAGTGACTGCCCCCAGAGGCTCTGCCTCAACCCACAGTCTGTAATGCCTGGCCACAAGGCTTTGTTCTTGGCCCCCTCCTGATCACCGTTTCAATCAGTGGGTCTGGACCATGTCTCAGAACTGCAAGGGCTTGTCTGACCATTTGCTGGCCTCAGGAGCGGAGCACCCAGCTGATCCTCATTTTACAGACAAGGAAAGATGCGCTGGCATTGCAGGGCTGGACTCACACTCAGCTCCCCCAGGAGCTGTCTCAGCGAGGGCTGGAGGCACACATCTGGGGCAGGGGGAATCACAGGAAATTGTGGACAGTTTCCCAAACTGTAATGGTAACTTTTACCCCAAAATGAAACATGACAAGAATAACAACAGTATTCCATCAAAAGATTTATTTAAAAAATTAAAGCAAATGGGAAATTCTTCAGTTATGGACGAAGTGACTTCTGGACACGTCTATCAGGAGATCAGTGGTTGTAGCTGAAGTTCTTATCTTCCTGGGAAAACACATCCTGGGAGAGGTTCTTGTACCAACCAGAGTTTTTCAAGAGCCCAGAGGGATGTAGGCAGGCGTGGTAGATGGTGTATCCTTAGGATTCTGACAAGGGACTTGAAACAAGACCAGGTCTATCCCTCCAGCTGCCCAAGGGACACAGTGCGGGGATTGAGGTCTGACTGGAAGAACTCAGAGAGGTTAGCGTGAAAAAGTCTCTGTATGACTGATGCTGGAGATGTTTGGGGTCAAGGTTCTGCAGGAGAGAACAGAGCATCTGGCAGGTGGTGGAAACCAGAGTGGCATCGGGGTTCCACCTGGAATTTCATTTCAGCCCTTACTGAAGCCCCTCCCAGTTGGGCACCTGGGTCAAGGTGATGGACACCCACACCTAGGACCCCAGTACCCAACAGGCCTTGTTGGTCCTACGGGTGAGCCCCTCGGCCCCCAGCAGAGATGACAGATACAGAAAGGGGCACACAACAGGAGTCCTTACCTAAATCCACTGCTCTCAGAGAGGGGACACCCCTCTTGCACCTCTTTCCAAGGTCGCTAAATTTGGGGACTTTATTCTGTAGGTTCCAGGCCTCCCCTTCCTCACCACAGTGTCAGAGCCTGTCCGAGAAATGTAGGCAGAGGCAGATAAGAACTCCAGCAATCCCCTTTGAGCCCCTGGATCCAGCTGGCCCTGAAAGCAAATTGCCAACGACGCAAACAACAAATCTACCACCATCAAGTCCATTCTGACTCATAACAACCTTGGACAGGGGTTCCAAGGCTGTGCATGTTTATGGAAGCAGAAAGCCTCATCCTTTTCTGAGTGGCTGGTGGGTTTGAACTACTGACCTTGCGATTAGTAGTACGCAGCACTCCTTGTCAATGACCCATCTGCCAATACTGATGAGTTTCTCATTTGCTTAAGTTTTCAACTCTGCCAACTGAAGGTGTCCCAGCTGAAAAGCTCAGATGGCCCTCCTCTCAATCCCCCACTCACCAGAAACTGGCCCTGTTTGGGGGCTGGGGGCAGCTGCTGGTACATTCTCATTGTAAAGTGCCATTAAGTCGATTCTGACTCATAGAGACCCTGTATAGAGTTTCTAAGGCGCGACTGGTGGGTTTGAACTTCTGACCTTTTGGTTAGCAGGTCAGTGCTTATCCTACAGCGCTACCAGCATGCTGGTCTCCAAGTCCTGCCACTGAGCTGTGAAGCTCAGAAGCCCATGGGCAAGGGACACTCGGGTCTCACACACCTTGGGAGGTCTTCCGGATGCCTCCATGGGTCTTTAAGAGGGACTTGTTCCTGGCATCTAGGAGCTTCATGATTTTCTGCACCCACTTGGCCTGTGGATCCCCACACACCTTCTTTTGTCTCCGGGGAAGGAAGAAACTGACGGGTGGAGAAGGAAGCCCAGGTTAGCGTGTAAGGGGGTGTCAAGTGGTGTGTGAGTCCTCCACCCAGCCCCTCCAGCTCCACTCACATCACGGCAGGCAGGTTGCAGCTCCCGCTCGCCTCCTGGAGCTGGTAACTCTGGGCACGTTGGATCAAAGACGGCCTTACACGGTGGTAGGGGTTGTAAGCCAAGCAGCAATCCTCAAAAGCACCTGCAAGCCACAGATAAAGCCCTGCACAGGTGCACCCTGGTTTGTGCATAGACCAAGACCCTCCTCCCAGGCTCCAGGGATTAAGAAGCTGCCAGCTCACCATTGACCCTTGATTATCAGGACAGTTGACAGATTAGAGAGGCCCCACATGGGGATGGTACAGAGTCACCAAATAAATAGAAGACCCAGGCCGCCTCAGCTCCTGCTTTGTGGCAGATGGCTTCGGATGGAAGACGCAGAGCTTCAAATATGGGCAACCTCTGTCCACCTTGTCATTGACAATTGTCAAGTTGAGGCAGACTCATGGCTGAGAACTGATGGACTCCCTAGGGTTTTCTTGGCTGTGATCTTTATGGGAGTCCGTTGATAGACCTATCTTCCATGGCACCGCTAGATGGGTTTGAACCATCCACAAACCATTTGTACCACCCAGGAGCCTCTGAGAAGTTCTCACTCTGTGTCAAATGTCTGGACACACACAGATGAGTTGGGCAAAGTCACCCTGGACACTGCCTGGGATTGCAGAGAAATGGATGGCTGCTGGACGGTGTGTGTGTGTGCTGGGGAGACACCTGTAACCGAGACAACCTGCCCTTCTGTAGAATGCTGGCCTCCTGGGTCACCGCTGGTCCCAGGGCAGGCAGCTCAGTAGGAGGAGTGAAGTGACAGAAGTGAGACAGGCCCCCTCGCATCTCCCAGCCTTGGTTCTAGAGCACAAGGGGGGGGGGGCTTCAGTTAGTTGCCCCCTGGCTGCAGAGCCCACGGCAGTATCAGTTTAACTGATAAGTAAGGTAAGCCCAGGCTTCCTTGTGCTTACTTATGTATCACTATTTTTTTCCACCATGTCACCACTGTTTTTCACCATGTCAAAGATTCTACTGCAAGGTCTGGCTGGTGTCTGCTTCTCTCCCAACCCCGCAGCACCTGCCTATGGAATCAAAGCTACTTTTCACATTGGCAACCCCTGGACAGGGACAGAGAACTCAGTCAGCAAGTAGGCACAGGTTTCCTTGAGCTTACTATGTCAGTGTGAACAGTTTCACACACTGATGTGGTTAATCCATGTGAAATTGCTCACTACAGATTAGTAAGTGAAAGCAAACCCTTGTTTACACCAATCTACCTCTGAAGCTCTAGAAGCTGGGGCTGCCCTTTCCCAAGATCAAAGGGACAGCTCAGATAACAGGACAGTAGTGACACAGCCCAGCTATATCACCTGGGGACAGGACTCTCGAGCTCTCTAATCCAACCAAAGGGCCATGAGGCAGCAGGTGGGGCCCCTGGACCCATGAATATCAAGGACATAGTGACCCCCTCTTGAGTCCCTGCAAGGTGGGAAGGAGGTTTTCCTGCAAGAAGCCCTGGGATTGGAAGTCATCATAGTAACAGTAATGGTTATCGTTGTCATTGCCCATTTAGGATTCCCATTTTACAGATGAAGAAACTAAGGCTTAGAGAGGTAGGCAGCAATGCTCGGTGGGATTGTGCAGGCAGCCGGGGGGTAAAGCTGGAGCTGGAGTTTACTGAATCGTTCTCCACAGCTCTGGTCTCTAACCCCAGCTCTGACTATAGGGTAAGATGGTAGGTAAGACGTGGCAACATGTCCCCAGAGGTAAGGGGTCAAGACTGGCTGGGGTCTTCCCAGGGAAGCCTGGTTGGTGGACTCTGGAGGCAGCATGGAGCCTCTGGAAGAAGGGGCTGGGGACCCTCCAGCATCCAGAGAGCTTCCCCTTCCTGACACACCAGGGCAGGGACCTGCAGAGAATTCAGTAAAGAGTGGGTCCGGGTGTGGAGGTGGGTGCAGACAGGGCCAACAATGGCAGTACCTTGGGTGTTGACAGCAGGGACCCAGGCCCCCACCAGGCCGATCACCAAGCAGGCCAGGAGCCACTGGTTCATAGTGCAGAATGGTTCTTCTCCCTGGGTACCTCAAGGGACTCCTTGGCCACCTAGGGAGTTAAGGGTGGTGGGTAAGGACCTCAGGAGGAAAGCAGCAAGCATGGGGAACACCCCCCTTGTCCACCAGGATCCCGGGAGCCAGAATGGGGACACAGGCTTGGAGGGACCTGCTGGCAGCCTCAGCCCTGTTCTGGGGAGGGACTCACCTGCTGGGCTTCCTGAAACCAATGCCACTGCCTGACTTACTGGGCGTCTGTGGAACTCTGCTGGCCCCAAAGGTCCGGCAGGCAGGCCTTTATAGGAGGAGCTCCGCCTTGCCACCACTTACCCTCCCTCCTCCCCAGCCACTCCACCTCTGTCCTCTCCTCCCCACTCCTCTTCTCTTCTCCCATATCTTTGTCCAGTATCAGGGTGCATCTGGAAGAACAAGAGTCAAAGAGCAGTGTGGAAAAAAAAAACACCTCCCTCAATAAACTAGCAGGGCATGGAATGGACGAGGGGTCCCCTTGGTGATGAGAGGCATTAGACAAAAGTGGAGCTCAGGCCTGGACCAAGCAGACCTTGAGAGGACTGGTTGGTCCAAGACCCCCTCACCTGCCTTCAGTTTCAGCCTTCTCCCTGTACACAGACCTCAGGCTACCTGGAGCCTGGAGAGACCCTCCACTCCCCGCTGTCTGCTCCCAAGCCGACTGGGTCCTGACTTCACTCCATGTTTTTCTACTTAAAGGCCATAGGGTGACTCAACATTTCCCAGATGAATTCTGGTTTTGAGAAGAAGCAAATCTAAGGAACCAGAAAGTAGGTGAATGGTTGTCGGTGATCACTGGGTGCCATCAAGTCGATTCCAACTCATAGCACCCCCGAGTGACAGAGTAGAATTACCCCACAGGGTTTTGTTGACTGTCGTCCCCTTTACGGAAGCAGATGGTCAGACCTTTCTTCCTGCAGAATTGCTGAGTGGATTCCGACTACCAATCTTGTATTGTTTGTTAGCAGTCTAGCGCTTAACCACTGCACCACCAGGACTCCTTCCAGGGACTAGAAAATCCCAAATCAAATGTAGGGTGAACAGGGAGTCATTGAGTTGATTTCAACTCATAGCCCAGGGTTTCCAAGGCTGGAATCTTTATGAAAGCAGATAGCCTCACCTGTCTTCCGCAGAGTGGGTTCCAACTGCCAACCCAATGCTTAACCCACTGTGCCACCAGAGGGAGAGGAAATGGGTAGTGACCTTTAATGGGTACAGGGTTTCTCCCAGGATGATGAAAGTGTTCTGGGATTGGTTAGTAGTTTGCCCAGATCTGCAAATGCAAGGTTCCCACAGAGCTGCACACTTTAAAGAGCTGAAGGTGTCTGAGAGTTAGAGCTCTCAGCAAGCCCTTATCTCAAACAAACAAACACACAGCAAAGAAAGACCCTGGTTTGGAAAGAAAAGCTGGCAGCCCCATGTAATCCTGCCTGCAGGAAAGAAAGGAAAACCCTTCCGGAAGGTACTTCCCCCTTACTTACACATGCACACACCCTAGGGTGGGGGTGGATAAAGAGCATTCACCAAAAGCTGTTAACTTTCATTCCCCCTCATCCCTGGTTAAGGAGCTCTGGTAACGTAGTGATTACGAACCCGGCTGCGAACAGCAAGGTCAGCAGTTCGAAACTACCAGTTGTTCTGCGGGACAAAGATGAGGCTTTCTGCAGAAACAGGGTTGCTAAGAGTCTGAACCAACTCCACGGCACATAACAACAACAACATCCCTGCTTGGAGTTAAGCAGTTTGAACTGCAAGGTGGGGGTTCACTGCTCCTCAGAGTCGCTGTATATGGGTTGGAAAGGACTCCATGGCACATAACAACAACAACATCCCTGCTTGGAGTTAAGCAGTTTGAACTGCAAGGTGGGGGTTCACTGCTCCTCAGAGTCGCTGTATATGGGTTGGAAAGGACTCCATGGCACATAACAACAACAACATCCCTGGTTACATCTGGCCTCCTGGGGTATTGACCACACCCTGTACCTCTTTCTAAGTGGCATTCAGTCGTGGTTGGACCCACTAGCCACTCCGTGGGAGAAAAATGTGTACTTCCCTAAAGATGTCCCCCTTGAAAACCCCACAGAGCTGTTCTACTGTGACCTACAGGGTCCCTGTGAGTCGGAATTAACTACAGGGGGCTGGTTTGGTTTGGGTAGGGGTTTCTCGTCACTCCGGGGATTCTAGGCGATCGGGCCTTGGCCGGGCCACCTAATGAGGGAAGGAGCGGTGATGGAGTCCAGACTGTTTACTGGGGGTTTGGGGGTCAGGTGGGTGGGGCTTAGACCTGGGCGGGGCTTAGCCCTATCAAGTCTGAACCCTTCGCGGGTGCCCCAGGCGGAGGCGCCCAGCAAGCCGAAGTCGCCCACCACCTGGGCTCTGCTCCTGGTTCTCAGTCTCCTGCCCGAGTGGGCGACTCTGGGCCGGGACGCGGCTCGGCTTCGCGTGGTTGCAGGCGCGGGCTTGGAGACGCAGCGTGGCCGCTGGGCCGGCCTTCCCGCCTTGGCTCGCTGACTTTGCCAGCTCTAGGTCTGTCACCCACAAATGTTCAGGGTCACCGACCCTTCCACCTGCAGCCTCAACAGAAAGGAGGGGTCCTGAGCAAGGGAGCAGGACGCAGGACAAACAGGAGGTCCTGGGGACATCGCGGGAACGTGCATGCTGTGGCACCCGGCTCCGGATACTTGTGGCCAGGCACAGACACGGTGCTCAGAGGGACGATCTGAACAAAAGCCCACAATTTTGGAGCCTGCATTTGGATCTCCTGGCTCTGAGCTGAAGGATGGGGAGGCTTAGCAACCATGAGTGTTGTTAACTGCCTCCCAGTGAATTCAGACTCACCCCACAAGTTACTCAGAACTTTTTGGAGCCCCAATAGGATTGAAGGCACAGAAGCTCAAGATAGCTGCAGACAGTAGTTGAGTCAGATAGGCCAAAGCCACTGCAGGAGGCTGAACCTGCCAAAGACAACTCTAGTTAAAAGGAGTTCTGCTAATTTCGTAGAAGCTAGTTGGAGTCCTGGTGTGGGTGCTGTAGGATAAGCACTGGACTGCGAGGTTGACAATTCAAACTCAGCAGTTGCTCCTCGGAAACCCCAGACAGAGTTGATATGAGTCAGAAGCAACTTGATGGCACATAACAACAACAACATGTGAAATGAAAAAGAAAAAGAAAAGATGATGCCCTGAGTTGTCATTGAACACCTGTTTTAGACCAAGTGATGAGTTGGACACAGAGGCAGATAGGTGTACGTGTGTCCTTCCCATGTGGGACTCCCCTCCTAGAGGGGAATGTTCACAAGACCTGCCACACGATCTGGTCTGTGTGACTACAGGAATATGTGTTAAGTCCATTTTATGTGTCAACTTGACCATGGTGCCCAGTTGTTTGGCCAAACACTAGTGTAGCTGCTGCTGACAATTTAGTCATTTGAGCTTAAGTAAAGTGGATTTGGAGTCCTGGTGTGGTGATGTGGGTTAATTCGCCAGACTGCAAAGCCGTTTAAACTGCAAGGTTGGCGGTTCAAGCTCACTAGCTGTTCCTCGCTATACAGGGTCTCTATGGGTCAGAACTGACTCGATGGCACTTCACAACAACAAAGTGGATTTGGAGTCCTGGTGTGGTGTGGTGGGTTAATGCGCTGGACTGCAAAGTCCTTTGAACTGTAACGTCAGCAGTTCAAACTCACCGGCTGCTCCTCAGAAACCCTCTATAGGGTTGTTATGGGTCGGAACCGACTCGATGGCACTTGTCAAACACAACAACAAAGTGGATTTACTTCCGTAATGTAATCTGATGGTGTTAGCGCCTGTCGAGTTGGCCCCCAACTCATGGTGACCCACAGAGACGAGAACAAAATACTTTTCCATCCTGTACCATCCCCACACATGGTTGCTAGGTTCAGACCATTGGGATCCACAGGGTTTTCACTGGCTGGCTTTTCAGATGTAGAGCGCCAGGCCTTTCTTCCTAATCTGCCTTAGGGAAGCTCTGCTGCAACGCCTTCCGCATCCTAGCAACAAACAAGCCTTCACTGACAGACTAGTGGTAGCTGTGTTTGAGGTGCACTGGCTGGGAATTTAACCCAGATCTTCTCTATGGAACACAAGAATTCCATCACGGAACCGCCAGTTCCTCATACACCAAACAACAAGTGGACTCGAACTCATGGCACTCCCATGTGTGTCAGAGTAGAACTGCAGAGTTTTCAGGGGCTGATGTTTTTGGAAGCAGATCCCCAGGCTTTTCTTCTGAGGCATCTCGGGTTGGAATTGAACCTCCAACCTTTCAGAAACTCCAATCTAAAGTAATGTAATGACCTGTTGTTTAGTTATCTACTACTGCTCTATCTCTGCTATTCATACTTAGTCACAGTTTGTTGCTCCATACCATCAGCCAAAACAAGGCCACGGGTAGATTGTGGAACAGACCATCAATTGATCCTATGCAAATTCAGACTCAAGCTGAAGAAAATGAAAACAAGTCCACGATAGCCAAAATATGACCTTGAATGTATCCCACCTGAATTTAGAGATCATCTGATGCATTAAACACTAAAAACTGAACACCAGAAGAGTTGTGGGATGACATCAAGAACATCATACAGAAAGAAAGCAAAAAATCATTAAGAAGAAAGAAGGAAAATATCAAAATGGATGTCAGAAGAGACATTGAAACTTGCTCTCCAGCGTAGAGATGCTAAAGCCAATGGAAGAAATAAGAAGGTACAAGAGTTGAACAGAAAATTTCAAAGGTCAGCTCGAGAAGACAAAGTCAAATATTACAATGAAATGTGCAAAGATCTGGAGTCAGAAAACCAAAAAGGAAGGACACGCTCAGCATTTCTCAAGCTGGGGAAACTGAAGAAAAAATTCAAGCCTCGACTTTCATTATTGAAGGATTCTCTCGGCAAATTATTAAATAATGCAGAAAGCATCAAAAGAAGATGGAAGGAATATACAGTCATTGTACCAAA